GTTTCTGAGGCTTCTGAGCGTCTGAGCGCTCTGAACAGGCTTCTGAGCGTCTGAGCGCTCTGCAGAGGCTTCTGGGCGCCTGAGCGCCCTGCAGAGGCTTCTGAGCGCCTGGGCGCTTCGCGGAGGCTTCTGAGCGCCTGAGCGCTTTGCAGAGGCTTGTACGACTTTTGAGCGCCTACGCGGTGTGCAGCGTTTTTTAAGCGCCTGAGCGCTCTGCAGATGTTTCTGGGCGCCTGAGCGTTCTGCAGAAGCTTCTGCTGTTTCGGGGCGCCTGAGTGCTCTGCAAGGGTTCCTGAGCGCTTGAGCGCTCTGCGGAGGCTTCTGAAGATTCTGAGCGCCTGGGTTCCCTGCAGGTGCTTCTGAGGCCTCTGAGCTTTCCGATGCAGATGCTTACGGGGCCTCTGAGGCTTCTAAGCGCCCTGCCGAGGCTTCTGAGGCCTTCGAGGCTTCTGAACGCCCTGCCGAGGTTTCTGCTGCTTCTGAGCGCAGTTTCCGAGCGCTTTGCATCGGTTTCTGGTGCTTCTCCGCGCTCTGCCTGGGCGCTCTGCAGAGACTTCTGAGCGCATGAGCGCCCTGCAGAGGCTTCTGGGCGCCTGAGCGCTCCTCAGAGGCCCATGGGGCTTTTGAGCGCCTGGGCGCTCTGCTGAAGCTTTGAGCGCCTCTCAGCGCCTCCCAGAGGCCTCTGAGCGCTTCCCAGTGGCTCCGGGTGTTTACCAGTAGCTTTTGAGGGCGTGCTGGCCTACCTGTGTCCCCCGAGCTTCTCCGTATGGCTTTTTTGAGCGTTCTTAAGACGTTCCCAGCCGCGCCCCCGACGCTTCCGAGCGCGCCCCAGATGCTTCTGGTCGCCCCCCAGGGGCAACGAGCTGGGAGAATCGTCGGTCCGAAGCCTTGGATCAGCCTGAGCAGCCCCGTCAGGCCTTCGCGGCTCTTTCGTTCCGCGAGTTTCGTGGGGGTCTTGTGGGGCCATCCCGGAGCTGTTTTGGCAGCTGTGTTGGCCGGTTGGAGCCGTTTTGGGGGCCTCTCGGGGTTCCTTTGGGGGGGGGTCGGGGCACATTCGGGGCGATCGTCGAGGCATGCTATTGCCAGACAATGGGGCGCGAGGGCAAACATGGAATATGATGCAGCAAAAACCACATTCCGAAAACCAGACGCATTTGCTAGAGGTTTACAAACGAATTCTTGGCCACATTTTCGCCCTTCTGGGTACGCATGTTTCCGCGAATGCGACAACATACGGTTTAACAATGGCCAGACGATGAGTCGCGAAGACAACAATTGTCCGTGAGGCCAAACGTCGTAATTTGACATCCACACGTAGCGTCTGGAATGTTGCCATCTACTTCTTGGCCACATTACCGCCTACCTGGGCGCGCATGCTTTCGCACATGCGAAAACATGCGGTTGTGTCAGTGACAGACGATGAGGCGCGAGGACAAACATTTTCTATGACAAGAAATCCACATTGTCAATTCCACAGGTATGAGTTATAATGTTACCATCGACTTCTTGGCCGCATTTCCGCCTTCTTGGGCACGCTCGCAACCGCGAGTGCGATCGCATACGGTGTTGCGATTGCCAGGCGATGAGGCACGAGAACACAACGTTGTCTGTCAGGCAACAAGCAACACACATACAATCCACATGCGCCGGCTAGAACGTTATCACATATTTCTTGGCAACATGTCCGCTTTACTGCGCACGCATGCTTCCGCAATTTCGAATACATGTGATTTGTGTTATTGCCAGAGGATGAGGCGCGAGGACAAAAAATGTCTATGATTCAAAAAACCATATTGTGAAATCCACATGTGTTGATTAGAATGTTACCGTCGATGTATTGGTCACACTTCCGCCCTCATGGGTACGCAAGCAACCGCGAATGCGAACGCATGTATTGCTGTTGCCAGACGATGAGGATCGAGGGCGCACGTTGTCTCTTAGGCAAAACAACGAACATTCAAACATCAAAAGCCACATGTATCGGCTAGATCTTTGCCATCGGTTTCTTGGCAGCATGTCTGCCTCCCTGGGTACGCATGCTTCCGCGATTGCGAGCACATGCGTTTTCTTATACATATATACTATTGCCAGACGGTGCGTCGCGAGGACAAACGTGGTTTTTGAGGTAATGCACCAACATTTTGCAACCCACACGTATTGGCTAGAATTGTACCAAGAGTAATTTGCCACATGTCCGTTTTCCTGGGTACGCATGCTTCCGCACATGCGAAACCATACGGTTGTGTCATTACCAGACGTTTAGGCGCGATGGCAGAATATGGTTAGGATGCAAATGCATTTTGAGTCCACGTGTAGTGGCTAAAACGTGATCAGCGCCTTCTTGGCTACATGTCCGCCCTCCTTGGGGCGCGCGTGTTTCTCTGCGTCTTTCGCGGCGAACGCTCATTGTCCTCATATTGCCAAAAGAAGCAAGCTTTCCAGGCAAGCGATGTACATTTAGGGCGAAGATACCACAAAAAAGGCTTAAACCTCCCAGGCCTGCCACCAGCCTGTAGCGGGAGGATCTCTATTGGATCTCAGTTGGGTTCTCATAATCCTTTGGGATGCCACAGTGATAACAATAGGACGCCAATCGGTGCACAGTCAGGTTCAAAGAGGACAGGTTTTTGTTGGGTTACAGTTGGGCCCTGATGGGATCCCAATAGTATGTCCGTATGGATCGAACAGGAAGGATCCCGACTGGATTCCAATGCGATGTCCTTCGTATTCGCCAATCTGGTTCCGATGGGATTCCAACAGGAAGCGGTTCCTGTCGTTGTCGGGCAAAAACCGGAGAAAAAAGATCCCCACAGGGTGTCCTTATAGTACCCGGTTGCGTTTCTTGCAGCAGTCCAATCTTCGATTGTAATGACATGGGATCTCCAATCGGTTTCCCTTAGGAAGGGCCCAAAGGGTTTCAATAGAAACCATCTCTACCGGATTCCAATAGGACACTTGCAGGCCCCACAGCGAGGGATTTTGTTGGATACCCATGGGATTCATCTGGTGTCAACAGGATCCCACTTGGAAGGGTGCCAATAGGATTCCAATAGGCTTCCGGTTGGATCCCATTAGGACTGCATCACTTCATAGATTCTCGCTTCAGACGGGTCACTTTACAACCAGCGCGCTTCAGAGAGCGAATTGCCCCCCCCCCCCCCGCGCGGACCCACGGAGATTTCGGAAGTTGTCGCTCATGTGCGTTTATTTGCTTGGTTGTGAAGTGGCCTTCCTGATTGTAAAATGCCCGTCTGGGAAAACCCATGCTGGTTGTAAGGTGTCCCATCTGGTTGTGAAGTGGCCGCTCTGGTTGCCATGTGACCTGGGGAGCCTCGGGTCCGTCGCCGTGGGAGGCTGCGCGGTTTTGGGCGGCGCAGAATACAGAATACTTGAAATTCGGCGTCCGTGGCGAGCCGTTGATATCGATTGATTTGTCAGATGCGTGCGGGGGAACCTCACTCTTGTCCGCGTCTGCGGGAGTTGTGGGTAAACAGGGGGAGGAGGCTGTTAATGAGACGGAAGAGCATAAGGATGAGACGATGAGACGGCGAAAGGCGACAAGGACAAGGACTGCGACGACGACGAGAAGGAGGATAAGGGAGAGCATCGCATGATGAGGAGTGGTGCTGTGAGAAGAGAAGGAGCAGGAGCATGATGATGATGATCATGAGGAGGAGGAGGAGGAGGAGGACGAAGGGGAGGAGGACAAGGAGTTTGGAGGGCTTAGAAGAATGGGGAGAGGGAGGGGTTGGTGGCTCTGAAAATAGTAGAGGTTGAACTTTTCCACGCCAGCTTGCCACTCGATATCCGTCTGCATGAAGAATGTTTCGCCACCGTGCCAGGCAGCACTCTGTGCGGCGACGCCCTGGGTTTTTTTTTCATGAGGTCTACATGTGTCGTCTTCGGGCTGTCTTGGGCTCCTGTCGGGCCGTTATGGGGCTCCCTTGGGACCATGTTGGGCCGTTGTGGTGTCGAATTGGGCCGTTTTGAATTATTCTCGGCTGTTTTGGGGCTCTCTCGAGGCTGCCCTGGAGGCATCTTAGGGCCATTATTCGACCATCCCGCTGCCTTCTTGGCCTGTCTACGGACTCTCTTGGGCAAATCTTGGGGCTGTCTTTTTTTCCGTCTGGGGGACATCTTGGGGATTTCCTGGTGTTGTGTTGGATATTGTTCGGTTTCTTTGGGAACATCTCTAGCCGAGAAGGCCTTGGAATGCAACATGCTCAATCATATAATGAATCATCTGTAGGTGTTTGAATCATTTTAGCTTTCGGAGGGCCTCTTGGCCTTGTCTTAGGTGTCGTGTGCGCCTCGTGGGGCCTCTTTGTCGTCTCTTCGGGAGTTCTTGGGCACCTCTGCGGTACCTCTTGAGGTATCGTTGGGCTTTCTTGGCGGCTTCGGTGGCATTCTTGGCCGTTTTGGAAGCCTCAAAGAGCCTTGGAAAGTTCTGAGGGACGCTTCGGGCCGCCCGGGGAGCCTCGAGAGAGGGGGCGGTGCATGCAGGGAAACGTGTCGAAAGGAGGGGGGCGGAGAGTGTTCAGTGAAATCCTACCAGGAAGCTCCTGGCTTTCTACCGCACCTCAACGTGCTAGAGGGCACGGTGTCGGCTTTCGGTCTTTTGTCTAGTCGCTGGCGCGCCTTCGGCCTGGAAGTGACGTCTTCCCTCGTCGCTGTACCTCGCCATTGCCTTGCGCTTCCCGCTCCTTCATCTCCCTTCCCGCCCTTTCCTCTATATTCTTTCTGTGCCGTCCTTGCGTACCTCTGCACTGGGGCCCTCTGCGGAGCTGCGTGAGGCTATCACAGGCCGTCCAGGGTGTGTTCGAGGCCGCCTTGAGACCTCTTCCTGCGGCTTCTAAAGCAGACCTGGCCCAACAATGAAGAACGCGCGTTGTCCGTAGCCATTTGGGCTCAAGCCATTTGGCTCAAGCCGTTTGTGCCCAAGCTGTTTGCAAAGTCCTCGTCGGGCCCTCGCCGCCCTGCCCGCGCCACGCCGCGTCGGGATGGCCTCCAGCCTCGTGCTCGTCGCTCTCGCCAGCGGCTGCCTGTCAGCAGCTCTTGCGGGCCAGTGCACTCCTCACGCGTTGGACTTCATCGTGCTGGAGGGCGATCCGCTGATGGCCCAGATCGAAGACGATATCGTGGCGGACCTCGCGAAGGTGGGCGTGACTGTGACCACCAGGTTCCTGCCCAAAGAGGAGTTCAATGCGGCAATGCAGGCGGGAGATTTTAACTTGTGCTTCACCGAGTCTTGGGGCCCGCCCTACGACCCGCAGAGCTTTGCCACTGGCTGGTTCAGACCCGGGAACGAGGCACACTACCCTGCCATGCAAAAGATGGAGCCCCCTATGACGTTTACCCAGATGGAGACGCTGGTCACAAACGTGCTCTCCGTTGAGAACGCCGTGGTGCGGCAGGAGAAGTGGACCGAGATCCTGCTTGAGATGCACCGGCAGGCCATCTCCGCCCCGTTGTGGTCGCGCCGCGTTCCGGCCATTTGGAACAGGCGGTTACAGGGCTACATCTCTGGCAACCAGCAGTACGACTACCCGATGCACAACTTCGTAGTTGACTCCGGCTCCAACTCGGTCACGGTGGCTCCTGGCGCACAGACGGGCCTCTTCGTGACCACGGGCCCCATGGACCCGCACAGCTACCGCCCAAACGAGTTTTTTATCAGCAACTCGATCTACGAGGGCCTCGTATCTTACGGCGACAACGGTGTCATCGAATTCAGCTGGCTACCGCATGGGAGGTCTCAGACACCAACTCGGGAGGCCAAAAGTATCGCTTCACGCTCAGGACCGGCGTCAAGTTCCATGACGGTACCAGCTTCGATTGCGCAGCTGTGAAGATGAATTCCGATCACGTCTTGCAGCCACCGTTGAACCACAATTGGTACCACGGTTGGTATCACTTGGCGCGCCACACCACTGGTTGGGAGTGCGATGACGAGGTCTTCGAGATCACGCTGGACGCCCCATACTACCCTTTTTTGCAGGAGCTCTCCCTAATTCGCCCCCTGCGCATCCTCCTCCTCCTCCTCCTCCTCCCGAAGAAGTAGAGAGCGCGAGAGGGTCTGGGGAGGTCGGCCGCTGACCCGCGGCGGCGGCGGCGGCCGCCGCGCCTCCCGCCGCGCGCCACCACGCCGCGCCCCTGCGGATGGGCCCGTGTTCCACCACCGCCGCCAGGAGTCGGAGGGGGGAAGGAGGTGGAGGAGGAGGAGGAGGAGGAGGAGGAGGAGGAGGAGGAGGAGGACGAGGAGGAGGGGGAGGAGGAGGAGGAGGTGGAGGACGAGGTGGAGGACGAGGAGGAGGAGGGGGAGGACGAGGGGGAGGAGGAGGAGGAGGAGGAGGAGGAGGAGGAGGAGGAGGAGGAGGTGGAGGACGAGGGGGAGGAGGGAGAGCTTCTTCAATGGGCCGACCACCGACCCGATCACGCACAACTCGTGCCCCGAGAAGTGGGGCCACGTCAACGGCGATGGCGGCATGGCAAGTGTGGGCGTGGACGCGAGCGTGACCGTGAACTGTGTCGGCGTGAGGAGCTTCGCGGGCACTGGCCCTTGGGTCTACGACAGTACGACCACGCGCACCGACGGCTCGATCCAGGAAGTGGTCTTCTCCAGGAACGCGGCCTGGTGGGGCCAGCACGGCGGCGTGGAGGAGCTGCGCGTGGTGAACTACAACACGAGCGAGTTGATCAAGCAGGCGCTGATCGACGGGAGCCTGGACGTAGCGGTGGGCGACAAGGTGCTGACCCCACAGCAGGTGCATGAATTTCAGAACGATCACTCCGAGACCCACGCCACAATCATGGGCCCACGCTTGTTCAACCAGATCGTCGTCATGAACGCAGCGAAGGCGCCCACAGACGACATCGAGGTGCGGAGGCTGATCATGCACTCCGTCGACAAGGCCGCCATCGTGCAGAAGGAGATGTACGGGCAGGCCGCCGTCGCCGACTCGTTGTTCCCTCGCGACGCCCCTTATTGCGACATCGACCTCACGCCTCGCTGGGACTACGACTTCGAGAAGGCCACGCTGATGAACTGCCCCGACATTCTGGTGTCAGACGAGGACGAGGTCGACGAGGGTCTGGTCCTAGGCCTGTTGCTGGGCATCGGGCTCCCTGTGCTTGCTGGCATCGCTGGCGTTGTGTGTTTCTTTCTGGGAAAGAGCTTGGGCTACAAGAAGTTCACCGAGGAGAATGATCAGCGGGTTAGGGCAGGCCCGCCAGCCGTAGTCGGTGTGGCCGAAGAAAGCGGTAACACTGTTGAGGCTGACATGTAGGGAACGGTTGCATCGATTGCCATGTCACAAGACCAGGCCCAAAGAGCAGAGGGCAGGCATGATCTTGACATGTTTGAGAGTGGATTGCCTTTCCACGCAGCGTTTGCGCGCAATTTTTTGTCATGCTTAAAATATCGCCAATCCTGGCGGTTTTGTTGAGGGTGTTGTTGTATAACATTTTCGTTTGTACATGAGCGCATCTCTCTTCAGTGATGAGGGGATGCGATGCATGTCAGCAGTGGGCACACCGTAACACTGCCGACCAAACGCAGTTTTGGCCGCTGGTGTCGATTGTACAGAATCGGCTGCACGGAGTTTGGCTGGAAGCCATTGCAACGAGGCGGTGAGTATTTGTCGTAGCTCTTTGGCCGCTTGCGGGCGAATTTTGTCTGATGTGTCCCAGTGTTGAGCGAGGCCGCGTGGGGCACCTCGAGTTTCTTGACGTCGCTCGCGGCTTGCGACAACAAACAAAATACAATGCAGAACGCGCGCTGCGTTCGCGAGCACACCTCGCCCTCTCAGTGACCATCGTGGGGAGCCTCTTCCCTCATACAGTCGGGGCCCTGAAGAAGGAACCCTTTTCGTTGCGGAGGGGCTCCATGTTCCCTAATTGTTTCGCAGCTTGCCTTGGATTTTCTTTAGGTTTTCGATACGAAATCGAAGTTCAGCTTATGGAAAATAGGGGCCTCGTTCCTTACTTAGGGTTCCTTAGGTCAACGCCTCGACTGTACCCTCCCTCCTCCGTCCTCCTCGTCCTCCTCCGTAGCTCTCTTGGCCCAAAGGGTGCTCGCCCACGCGCTGCCGGCCGCGGCGGGGCATCGGCCGCCGATGCCCCCTGCCGCGCCCCGCCGGCGGGGGGCTCAGCGGCCGAGCCGGGGCTGGCGGGCCGTGGCCGGGATGCTGGCCGCCGCGCCCGCGGGCGCCAGCAGTGCGGCGGCGGGCATCCCTCGACTGCACGTGTACGAGTGACCCTTCGCCGGAGTGACTTCTGGTGCGCGCTCACTTCTGGACGCCCGAAATGGGTACTGAAAGAATGGGTACAATGCCCAACAACAGTTCCTGTTCATTTTGAACAGGATTCGCTGTCCACGCCGCCGCGGCCTGTGCCCATTCGAGACAGAAGGCCGCCTGCCCAACAGCGGCCGCTGTTGGCTTGGGACAACATTTGTTGTTGGGCGTAGTGCCCATTCTTTCGGTACCCATTTCGGGTGTCCAAATCACTGGGGTCCCCCGAGCGCCGCGCTCAGTGCGAGAGTAGCGTCTTGCGCGCTTGTGCGTTGGCCTCCTCGCGCCTCCCAAGAAGCCGCGCACCAGAAGTCACTCTTGCCCAGGGTCACTCTTGCGTGCAGCCGGATCCCCAGCGCCCCGCTGTCGAACGGCAGGCAGCTGCCCCTGCTGGGCCTGGGGTGCGCCAGCGGGGTTCGCAGGGAGCACGTGCTCTCGGCCCTGCGGCTGGGGTACACGCACTTCGACACGGCGCAGGCGTACAGGTGGGGCTACCACGAGGACGAGGTGGGCGCTGCCATAGACGAGAGCGGCGTCCCGCGCGAAGGCCTGTTTATCCAGACCAAGGTCTTCCCGGCAGAGCTGGGTTACAACTCGACGATGCGGTCTTTCAACGAGTCGTTAGCGCGCCTGCGGTCTGAAAGCGTAGATTCGCTGCTCATTCACAAGCCGACCTGCTGGGGTGACATTTGCGACCGGAAGCCGGAGGGCACCTGGCAGGACAGCTGGAGGGCCCTGGAGGAGCTGTATGAGGCCGGCCGCGCGAGGGCCATCGGCATCTGCGACGCGGACGACAGGATCTTGCAGCAGCTGTCGCAGATGAAGCACAACGCTCACATAGTCCAGAATTGGATGGACCCCTTTCACCAGGACAGGCGCGTGCGGGGCAAGTGCGAGGAGCTCGGAATCCGATACCAGGCGTACAGCACGCTGGGCACCCAGTGGGGGGCGCAAGGCCACAGGGAGAACCCGGTGATGAACAGCCCAACGTTGCAGCGCATCGCCAACGCGCACGGGCGAACCGTGGCGCAGGTGGTGCTCAATTGGGCCATCGGCAAGGGCGTGGCCGTCATCCCTGCGTCCAAACAGGAGGCCCGGCAGCGATCCAACCTCGCTTGCTTGGATTTCGAGCTGGCGCAGGAGGAGATTGCCGAGATCGACGCGCTGGACGGCACGCTTGAGCGGCCTCGAGCTGGCGCGCAGAAGGACTCGGGGAAGCTAGAGGTGAAGTTCAGGGCTGGCGGCGATCATCGGACGCCGCTGAAGGCGTTCTGGGTGGACCAGCAGGGCGAGGAGGTGCCCGTCGGCGAGCTGGCCCTGGGCGGTGTCTTGGGCCTGTCCACGTACCACGGGCACAGGTTCAGGTTCAAGTCTGGTGGCGCTCCCGTGGCGGAGCACGTGGTGAACAGCGGGCTGGCCCGTGGGGACGGCGGCAGCTACGTGCACGTAGTGGAGGGAAGAGCGGCGGAGCTGTGAGAGAGGCTCGGTCGAAAAATTATCCCAGTGCGACCCTACCTAGGAGTTGGAGCCCCTAGGAAAGCAGCATTAGTAGTAACAGTAAAGCTAAGCTAAAGCTAAGCTGCAGCTAAGCTACAGCTAATCTAAAGCTAAGCTAAGGCTAAGCTAAAGCTAAGCTAAAGCTAAGCTAAAGCTAAGCTAAAGCTCAGCTAAAACTAAGCTAAAACTAAGCTAACGCTAAGCTAAAGCTAAGCTAAAGCTATAGCTACAGCTAAGCTAAATATAAGCTTAAGCTAAGCTAAAGCTAAAGATAAAGCTAAGCTGAAGCTAAGCTAGAGCTAAGATAAGTTTAAGCTAACGCTAAGCTAACGCTAAGCTGAAGCTAAGCTGAAGCTAAGCTAACGCTAAACTAAAGCTAAGCTAAATCTAGCTAAAGCTAAGCTAACGCTAAGCTGAAGCTAAACTAAAGCTAAGCTAAAGTTAAAGCTCAGCTAAAGTTAAGCTAAAGTTAAGCTAAAGTTAAGCTACATTTAAGCTAAAGCTAAGCTAAAGTTAAGCTAAAGCTAAGCTAAAGCTAAGCTAAAGCAAAAGCTAAAAGCTAAAGCTAAAGCTCCCAGGGGACTGGGGGAACCGCGGGGCGGGGACTGGGGGAACCGCCCGGGGCGCTTTCCACTGCCCGGCCCCTTTAAGCTAGAGAGTAAGAACCCTTCTAGGCAGAGCCTAGGTAGGGAAAAACGGAGGGGCGCGAGCGACAGCACGTTGTGGAGGGATCTGCGTTGCTGTGAGAACGGAGTCTGCTCCTGCTGCTTCTGCTCCTGCGTCTCCTTGTGGCGCCATCTCTGGCCGCATCCGATCACGTGGTGTCTTTGCGATTCGCGTCTCGGTCGCCGAGAAGCGTTTTGAGGAGCGTCTTGGGCTCTCCTAGAGCGGTGTTGCTGGCACTGCTGCTGCTGCTTTTGTTGCTACTGTTGAGGTCACAGTGTTTACTATTACTGCTACTGCAGTGTCATTACTACGGCTGGTGGAACAGGTGCGGCGTTGTTGCTGTTGTTGCTGTTGCTGCTTGTGCTCCGGGGCAAGAAGTGGCGGGCGCTCGTGCGAGAGCACCGTTCCGAGGCATGAATGTGGTTTGCGCGGAGGCGAGAGCATTCCTGCGATGCAGGAATGCGGAATGCGGCGTTGAGGCGACAGTGCAACTCCGACGCAGGACTGTGACTGGAGCAAGTGTGTGATCACGTCACGATTCCCGCCTCATTTCACGGCACGGAGCCATTAGGGTAGGAGGAAGATGAGGTGGGAGGACGATGCGGGTGAGAAGGATGGGGGAGGAAGAAGGAGACAGCGACGATGACGACGATCTAAACATCAATGTCGGTGCGGGTCTTTCGCTCTTGGATTTTTTTCGTTGTCTCTTGGAACCATTTTGGAGCCTTATTGGGGCCATTTGAGGGGCTGATGACGCCGTCTTGGCCCTCTTAGGGCCAATCTGGAGGCTATGAAGCAAAAACAGGCGCGACGCGGATTAGCGCCGCCCCTTTTGAGTCCGCACATTCGCAGAGCTTTTGGCCACCCTTGGGGCCATTCACGTTTTGAGCTCCTCCCCATCTTCAGCCTGCGGTCGCGAGAGAGCCGTATTCCGCTGGTGACCGAGCCGTCGCGCATCGTTCGTGCACGACCAGCACGGCTCAACGCGGGCAGCCTGGATGTCCCAAAACCGTCGGATCGGAGCTCTGGGCCACCAATGTGATGGCTCGAGCCGCCGCCTGCTCGAAGACCTTGAGCCCCTGCTCCATACACAGAAGCCGCGGTGACTCTGAGGAAAGCAGCGGGATTGGATCACGAGTCCCCAGGGAGGGGAGGGCGACCCGGCCGCCCAGGGGATCTCTTGTCTTTGTTCGACCAGTCTGGATGGACCGCACATGTGCACATGTTTGCCAGTTTTTCATATGTTCCCAGACCCCCCCCCGGGGGGGGGGGGGCCTGGGAACACTGAAAAATCACTTGTGGAACCCGTGCCCGAAATTCGGGTCTTCGGGTTGGGTTGGGGTGGTCTGGCAGGTAGTCACTCCGCTCTTCCCCGCTCCCCCCCTGAGGACATGCAGGTCAAGGGGCTCAGCGAGGGCGTTCAGCTCATGGCGCTGGGAGAGGCCAGAGCCCAGGGGAACCAGCCGCCATGGGGGGGGGGGGGGGAGGGCGACGAGAGAAGCTTGCGCCCCCTGCTCTCGCCCTTCGACTGCGCCTCGGTCCCCTGGTCGCGCGCGGCTTCGGAGGGCACGCGTGGCCGATGCTGAGGCAGCCACGGTGAAGCAGCCTTCCAGAAGGGGAGCGACCGCGAGGGAGGTCAGCGGGGTGGGCGCAGCAGGCCCACGGCGCGCCGGGACGGCCATCACGCCTGTGCTCAGAAGGCGGCGTCCAGCGCGGTGCGGCGGCGTGTGGCTGCAGGAGGCGACAGTGTGTCCACGAACACTCTGCCGGGCGCGCCTGGGTCACCCCTTAGTTGTCCTCCTCCTCCTCCTCCTCCTCTTCCCCCTCCCCCTCCTCCTCCTCCTCGTCGTCCTCCTCTTCCTCCTCCCCCTCCTCCTCCTCCTCCTCCTCCTCCCTCCTCCTCCTCCTCCTCCTCCTCCTCCTCCTCCTCCTCCTCCTCCTCCCCCCTCCCTCTCTAGAGGTCCTAAAAGCCTGTTTGAAAAGGGTCGGGGTCGGCGGGGCGGGGGGGGGGTGGCCCCGTCTGAAAACCCAGCCTCTGGCGGCCCGGGGTCGTAGTGCAAGCGAGGGACGTCACGATGGCAGAGCCGGGCAACAGGTGCCGTCGAGAGGATGCGTGCAGGTATCGTGAGGGCGCCTCGAGGCCATCGCTGATATTAAGTCGGGCGTGTCCCTCTACAGGGGGAATATCCAAACATAGTCAAAAAATAGTCCAGACTCTGTTTTAAAAGTATTTTTTGACAATTTTGGAGTACTGTTTGGATATTTTTTATTTTTCGTCGAAAATCCCCCTGTAGAGGGACACGCCCGACTTAACGCTGATACCACAGGACCGATATCCCACGTAGCAGCAGCTTTGTGCCAGATGTAGTCTTTATGGCCGCGTCGAAACAGTGTACCTTATGGGCGACCAGGAAGACCAAGAAAGAGCAGTGTAGAGGGGATCGTTGGAGTCGGTAGCGCGCGCACACATGGGCCCATCACGTTTGCAAGTTCCCTAACCAGCCACTGCCTACATTGCCAATGCCTTACGGCTGGCGCCGCCGACCCTGGACGACGACCCCACGATGGAAGAGGCAGTCCAGAAGGTCGGGATCAGACACTCCCAAGAGTGCCCAAGAGGCTACACGAGGCCCCCAGGACGTGCCCAAGAACACCCACGAGGTTTTTGTTGGGGGGGTCTGGGAAGCCCACTGGGAGCCTGGCTTGGGCGTCCTGGCGGTTCCTCGGGGGAAGCCTGGGCGCCTCGTGGGGACCTCTGTGGCCTCCTGACCCGGGACCCCCCCGGGACCCACTGCCCTGCGCCTCCCCAGGATCCCCCCCCCCCCCCCTGGCGGGGAAGGAAGCAAAAGGAAGGGACCTCACTTCGACCCAACTGCGACGTTGTTGGATTTCGCTTAGGCTGTTGCGCTTGAACTGGTGGCGAGCTCAAGGAGGAAGAGGGGGGAGCGGCGACGGCGACGACGACAACGACGTCGACGAAGGCGACGACGACGACGACGAGTCAAACGAAGCAGCCTCTCGCACACGTTGGCCGGGTCGGCGGATTATGATGGATGTTATAAGCTGCAGGGATGGACGTGTCGTTCCGCATGTCTTTGCGAGTGAATGGGTAGTTTGGCAAGCGATACCGCGCAGGCGCGGAGATTCTGGCTTCCACCCGAGCTGGCGTTCGGCAGCGAGGACCAAGCAGGGCAGGGCGCTGCTGCTACTCTCTTAACCAGATGATCGGTGGTGGCTGTCGCATGAGCGATCTGGAGAGATGCACGCTTGTCAAAGACGCCAGGCCGAGCTCCCCGTTGCCATGCCGCGCTAAGCCGCCCACAGCATCTACCGTGGACAATTAGGCCGACACAAGTGCATCAGGGGCAATAAGGAGGCACCGACAGGCTCGACAGGCCCTGGTTGTATTCAAACATGCCTCTGGTAGAGACGGATATGAGTGAGGGGATTGCTCATGGGTTCGAACATTACAACGCACGGCACAAGTTCGCCGTAGGCGCCTCTTTCTTGACCAATTCAGCAATGCGTTTCCCCCAGCCGGGCCCCGGGCCTCAGGACTCGGTGGGGCCCTTTTTAATCGCTGCAACAAAAGATACTAGAACTACGAACGCGAAGACATCAGTTCGTATTGGGCCAACCACCACCATGTGCGACTCGAAAGGGTCTGGGTGGGCGGAAACCAGTCATCTCACGACAGCGTACGAAAGCACGATTCCTTTGTATCAGTGCGTTGTCAAGGGCATGATCTCATCTGCCTCATGCAAGGCCGCAATCGAACATAATCCCAAATCTCACACCCAAGGTCACGACATCGCCCGCCACAGGTTAATGTCTTAAACCTGTTTTAAAAATCGCCCCCACCCTCCCCCCCAGATCCTAGTCCCGAAAATTCCCGCCTGGCGAAACTGTGTTTTTAACCGTCCCCCGGTGGAACAAATCATCGTGGAGATCTTCTTATGAGAACCTTCTTTTTACTCATGAAATAACAAAGGAAAAACTGTACATGTCACCCTCCCCCCCCCGGGCCCGTACGTATACGCTTGCGGCCACCCCGGACGGCCCAAAAGGCTTCCGAGAGAGCTCAAAAATGCCATGAGACGCCCCAAGAGAGCCCGAAGAGGGCGCCACGAGGCCAACATCGGACCCCCAAGACGGCCGAAGAGACTTCCAAGACGGCCTCAGAGAGGCCCGAAAAGGCCTCAAGACGGGCCGAGAGCGTTCCGACAGAGCCCGACATGTCCTCAAGATCGCCCAGGAGGCCCCCACGAGGACATCAAGAGGGCCCTCGCGCATGGTCTTTTCCATACAAGACG